TCTTCATATCCGGTCACATGGGTGGCAAGCCACTCCCATCCGGTCACATGGGTGGCAAGCCACTCCCACAAAGGAGGCCACACCCACAGAGTAGGCTCAAACAATTTTTGAAACCCACCACTGATGTGCAGAAGCAGTTTTAGTTCTGTGCATGCGCATGTGGAGTGATCAAGCGCACGCAAAAGCATCCCTGAGCAAACCGGCAGTAGCAGCTGGAATCCACCCCTGGTGTGTACCAGTATCTCATAGCAAATCATCCTCCAGGAAAAGGAGGAAAACAAAATATACAACAAATGTACAAGCACAAAGTTGGCAAGATGTTTTACACATCAAACATGGTTGATGTTTGATTAATAATGCAGAATTTAGCTGTAACAATGGTTGCTTCTATCAATTATTACATATTTTTTTATTTTCTAGAGACCTATTTCGAATCCTTCATTCAAATACATCCCTTTTTTTTTTTTGCAAGACGATTGTCTTTCTCTGTGTTTCAGTAGATGTTAACAACACAATGGAATTTTTGGTGTTGATTGATATGTATTGATAGCACATAAGTTCCTTGATGGTGTTAAAAAGCCAGAATGTAGTGCTTAGCTTACTGAGCCTTCTCAGTGACAGGAGACATGTAATATTCTCACTGGGATATGTAAGTACCCATCTCCTGGATAAATAATTTAAGAAATTGTTGAGAAATCATACCCATTATTAGGATCTGTGCTCAACAAGTGCCATTTTCTCTGAATCGTATTTGTATTTTGATAGGTATTGATTTTATGAGTAGTAGCAATGAATAATACATTTCATCTCCCTTCATTGCTCATAACAATAAGCGGACAGAAATAATGGACAAATGGACATTCCGCTCCATTCCATTCCTCCCCCACTTAAATGGAAACATTTTCTTCGAAGACCACACTCTGTCTTCTTCTAAGGGAAGGATGGGAACGGAGCACCTGATAAGAAGGCTGAAAGACAATGGCTGTCTAGGGAAGGGAATGAATATGTCTGAAATTCTAAAAGCGGAGATTTTTGTTTTGCTGTACCTTGGACAAGAAAGATGACCCCGAATACGCCATGTTTGCCCTGGTTTTACAGCCAGCCGTATCTGGAGGCAGAACGAAACAGTAGCCTCAGGCACCAAATCTGAAAGGGCAGCAAATCATTTGTTATTACTTTATCATTATTATAGATTTACTGTCAGGGATCTGGAGAGGGACTTATGGGTTTTTCCCCCCCTGCCTCATATGCTCAGGTAATTTGGAACACTTAGGATGGTCTGAATTGTGGTTTGAATAATATCAAAGGTGGCCATTGTCAGCTGTGCTTCAGAGTGCAAGGAATTCTGATCCTCCTCAAATTTTGCACCTGGATGAATAATGGTGTCTCTCATTTGTAGTTAGTTTCTTCATTAAGTGAAAGAAAGGGATATCATTAATGTGAAGCTTCCTTTAGATAACACTCTGGTTATTGTTCTGGGGTGGGAGACCTTACACCTTATGTAAGCATTTATGGCTAATTGTTAAAGTGAATTGGAAGGACACAAGAGAAAAATGGGTCGGTGGAATTACAGAGTGATAAATTTTCAGAGATCTTCTCAGAAACATGGGCAGAACATGCCAGCCTCTTGAAGCAAATGAGAGAACAAAAAACACACAGGTCGCCATTATTTCAAGATGTGTAACCTGACCTTCTAATGCAGAAGTAAACAACTTGATGTCCTCCAGAATTTTTAAACTACAAAACCTGCAGTTTCCTTGCTATAGGCTTTGCTGAATGGAAATTTTGGAAACAGAAACCCTACATATCTGAGAGTCAGCTCACAATTTTTCTCAACTCATTGATAAATCTATTTTTAAGGGATGCGGTGGCTCAGTGGCTAAGACACCGAGCTTGTTGATCAGAAAGGTCAGCAGTTCGGCGGTTCTAATTCCTAGCGCTGCGGTAACAGAGTGAGCTCCCGTTACTTGTCCCAGCTTCTGCCAACCTAGCAGTTCAAAAGCATGTAAGAATGCAAGTAGAAAAAAATAGGAACTATCTTTGGTGGGAAGGTAACAGTGTTCCGTGTACCTTAGTCAGGGGTGGGTTTCTCGCCCCGTTCCAACTGGTTCGCGGTGCACGCATGCGTACTAGCGTCTATGCGATGCTCCAGCTGCTCCTGGAGGATCGCGCAGGCGCTGTATGCGTCCTGCGCATGCGTGGAAGCGCAGAACTCGTCAAAACCGGGTAAGCAACGCAGGAGGGCGGGTGGGCCCTTCACCGTTCCCGGAAGTTACTTACTTCCGGGTTCGCCGACCAACTGGTTCGCAGGGACCGCCGCGAACCGGTTGAAACCCACCCCTGACCTTAGTCATGCCAGCCACATGACCATGGAGACGTCTTTGGACAGAACTGGCTCTTTGGCTTTGAAACAGAGTTGAGCACCACCTCCTAGAGTCGGGAATGACTAGCACATATGTGCGAGGGGAACCTTTACATTTACCTTTATCTGTATTGAAAGTACAACAAGCAAAATTGCCACTGTCTGTCCTGCCTTCCTTCTTTCCTTGCCACTTGATTGTTTTTTGTAAACAGTGTCACATTCCCGGAGACTAATCAGAGCAGTTGTTATTTCAAAGTGCCTTAATGCAACAAGAACACAACAAAATATTGAGCATGAGCATAAGCATATTTATGTGATGCTTTTTTGAATAGGAAATGGAATGAGATAATAAAGCACTGCCAAGCTGCAGAACAATTTTGAATTCAGAGGAATGTTGGCAAACCCTGTGCTAGCATTCAGCCAGTGCATAGCTTTTATTCAGCACACGAGATAGTGACTTTTGGAGAAAAAAAAACTTACATAAAGCTTTATCTACTTTCCTTTTTATATGTCATCTCTGATTAAAAGAGGAAATCCTTCTTTCCTTGTGTCATATCATAAATCAAAGTTAGAAAACCATTAGAAGTCAAGAAGAAGGATACCTCCTTCATGCACCGTGCATATATGGATGCAAACACTTACATACAGGGATACGTAGAAACTCTATTTTAAAATGAAATCAACTCCCAGAAAATTCACTAGATTAATTAACAATTAATAGATAATTTTCCAGGGTATTTCATTTGCATAATTTTGAACTCATTCATTAGATTACCCTTTGTAACCTGGTGCCTTCAAATGTAGTACAAGACTTTGCATCCAGTAATATACTCTATCCATGATGGAGAACAAATAATTCAGTATATTTTCCAGTCCTCTGAGGGTTTTTCTTCTTTCTGTTTAAATGCTTCAGGCTAGACTCGTTTTCTGTGATGTGTTTTTCCGTTTTGTTTTGTTTTTCTTTTGCATTTTACATTAAAAATACTTTTTAAATCATTTCAGTACTTTTAATGTCTTTTAATATCTGTAATGGATATTACTCTTCTTAAATGTTTTATGATGAAATTCTTGTATTTTTCTTCCCCCCTCCCTTTCTGAAATGTTTTACACAATCATTAACAGCTTTCACTGCTGGCAAAGCACTATTACAAATGATATTGTAAAGGATACATATAGGTGAAATCTTTAAAAAATAGGTAAAGGTGTTCCCTATCTAGTCATGTCCAACTTGAGGGGCGGTGCTCAGCTCTGATTCCCAACTAATCAGAGCCAGTGTTGTCCAAAGATGCTTCTATGGTCGTGTGGCCATCATAACTATATACCAAGGCATTGAGAACATTGTTACCTTCCAACTGAAGTGGTACCTGTTTATCTACTTGCATTGTATGCTTTTGAACTGCTAGGTTGACAGAAGCTGGGGCAGGAATGGAAACTCATTCCATCACGTGGTACTTGGGTCTCAAACTGCCGGCCCTTTGATCAACAAGCCCAGGTGTCTTAACTGCTAGACCACATGTCCCTTTATTTTCATCATTCTTCTCCATTAACCAAAAAGTCCTACAGCTAATAGGGACTGCTGCTAACAAGTTCTACTTTTGGATTACAGTCTCTCTCCCTCCCTTTTGAAGCCTGTGTTCTGACCTAGGCTCCCTTAAAAAAGCATGAAGGAGAGTCTTGGTCTCGACAAAACCTCATTTTATTTACATGACTGTGAATTCCTTTAATTCTTGGTCAGCAAGGCTTGGCAAAGAGTCTTTCAGAGGAACATTTATCAACACAAAACTTATCTCGCTTGGAGAGCTGCCAGATAACTAGTTTCCAACCGCAGGGCAAGGCAACACTTGGCACAGAGTCTCTTATAGTCACAAACAGAATTTTCCACTCTTGAAATGGGTACTTGAGAGACCGCCTGCTGCCAATTACCTCCCAAAGACCCATTAGATCACATAGGGTTGGCCTCCTCCGGGTTCCGTCTACNATTCTATTCTATTCTATTCTATTCTATTCTATTCTATTTTAACTTTGTCCCCCTCTCAACTGGAATGTGGTCCTTGAAACCTCTACTGGAACTGGGAGATGTAAGATTTTCTGTCCTTTTATAAAGCATTATGAAATAAATATATCCTTGTCTGGATGGCTTATTTGGCTGGAATTATACAGGAGCTGAAAGATGCATTGGGTATGGGGAAGAAGGGCAAAAACGTTTGTGCACCGGATTTTGGGAAATATACAACCCCCATTTTTATTGCTACAATGTGCCTTAGAATGAAGAGACCTGACATTAAACCATTGTAGAATTTCTTCTTGGCCAGCAGGGGGTGCACAAGAGATGCTGGGATGATGTTGCCCATTCAACTGGGCCAGGTCTCTCCCTGTCTTCCCATCTTTTCTCCAATGAATTCTCCCGCATGATCAAAGGTCAAAGTAAGTGAGATTCAATGTTGTGATTTTGCCTTCTAGTGACAAGAGCATGATAGAGCTTAGAATTTCACTGTATCAATCCCTATTTTGATAGGCTAATTGTTCAAGTGCTTCTGTTCCCATGACCCCTTTCTTCTAGCTTGTTCTGACCTAGGTTTCCTTTAAAAGCAAGAAGCAGGGTCTTGGTCCCGGCAAAACCCCTTTTATTTACATGACTGTGAATTCCTTTCATTCACAGTCCACAAGACTTAGCAAACAGCCTTTCAGAGGAATGTTTATCAACACGAACCTTATCTCCTTTGGAGAGCTGCCAAATAACTAGTATCCAAATGCAGGGCAAGGCAAAACTTGGCACAAAGTCTCTTATAGTCACAAACAGAACTTTCCACTCTTGAAACGACCAAATGAACGAATTGCTTCCTGCAAAAACCCACTCCCCTTTCGCTCCTCTTTTGTTTCCTATGGAAGGGGCCAATCACTTCCAAGGAGTGGCTTTCCTCCTAAGTTAACCCTGCTTTCTTAGTTGTTCTTGTCTTCTGGCAGCTCTGCGCATGCACACACTGGGAACAGGCTCCAGCTGTTCCTCTGCCTCACTGCTGTCTACCTCCCTCTCTGCCTCTGACGCAGAGCCCTCATCTGAGCTTCCCTCAGTCCCCAGGACTGGGCCATGTTCCTCCCCAACCTCCTCACTGTCTGACTCTGTTGCCAGCTCTGCTGGCCGCCGGTGGGCCACAACATAGCTTTTCAGTCAGAGGGACTTCTACACGGCTTACCTCTTTTCTGCCTGGTGCTGGGGCTCATGTTCCGGTTGTTTGACGTTTCCAAGCTTGAGAGTTCAGATTTATTTTCGCACAGACTCAGGGATTTTCTGCCGTACCTTGTGGAGTCAAAAGAGATGTAGCAAACATGGTTAGGTGACAGCTAACATGTTGAAAGGGATCTGTTGCATCAAGCAGAGCATTTCAGCATCTTCTTACAGGAACACTTGTTTTAAAAATATACCACTTTATAATGCCTTGGTAAGGCCACACTTCCAATCTCTTTGTCAAAGCCTCCAGCGATGAAGCAACCACAATTTCTGGAGTCAAGCGGTTCCATTGGTTAATTGTTCTCTCACTGTTAGAAAATTTCTCCTTAGTTCTATGTTTCTTTTCTCCTTGATTCGTTTCCATCAATTGTTTCTTGTCTGGCCTTCAGGTGCTTTGGAGAACAGGTGGGCCACCCCCTCCTTTGTGGCAGCCCCTCAAAGGTTGGAACACTGCTATCATGTCCCCTGTGGTCCATCTTTTCTCTAGATACATTAGAATCGTGATGGCGAACCTATGGCACTCATGCCAGAAGTGGCATACAGAGCCATCTCTCCAGGCATGCCAGCCGTTGCCCATTGCTCCCCCGGTTCCGGCGTGCACATGCCAGCTGGACTTCGCGCATGGAGTGCTGGAAATCGGAAGAGCAGGTCCCTGCCACGCATGCTGGGAGGCTGAGCTTCTGGTTTCCGGTGTGCACATGTGTGGCGGCCAACTGGTCTTCATGCGTGCATGCATGCCATAAACCAGAAGGCCAGGTGACCGCCACACGCATCCACACTGGGGAACTGCTCTTCCTGTTTCTGGTGCTCCCCCATCCGCCCGCCTGCGCTCCCGTTTCAGCACGCGATGCTGAAAAGGTTAGCCAATACTGGATTAGACTAAGAAGTTGAAGCAACAGCCTGGGATGTTCTCTCTCGCACCCCACTAACTCAAGTACTGCAATGCCTAGCAACCTTTTCCCCCACCTGCCAGCCCTTCATGCTATTGTCTTCGACCCCTTGCCAGCCCATGGTTTGATTGTTGGAGATGGTTGTAACAGCTAGGCTTGCCTCTTTGGATACACGTAAGTCCTTAACTTACGACCACAAATAAGCTCCCAATTTCTTGCCACAGTTGTCGAAATCTCCCTGGCAAAGTGACGAAAAGATGATCACATGTACATGGCAATCCTTATAAATCCGTGCCGGTTGCCGAGTGCCCAAATTTTGATCACATAACCATGGGGAGGCTGCTAGGGTCGCAAGTCCAAGGACAGTTTGCAAGTCACTTTTTTCAGTCCTGTTGTAACTCCAAACAGTTGCTAAGAGAATGGTTTTAAGTCAATAATTACCTGTATCATCCAGCTGTTGATTAGACATAACACCTACGTGCCATTTCCTGGGAAATTCTAAATGACCAGTTTAAACCTATTATGGGAATTGAGCTCTTCAAACAACATGCCCCATGTTCTTTTCTTGTTATGTTTGATTAGTGAGTTGCTATTACTACTGATCTGGACTGCAAGCCAAGTCCTCAACTCTCTGCATATTTGTGCACACGTAGATTACTGTATTTTTTTAGTTTATCTGGTTCACCTTTAAGAAAACTTCAAATAAGTTCCATAATTCTACATTTATATTTCTGTAACTGTCAATTTATACCTCTGGACATTTTAATCCTCATCAGGAAACAACCCAAATGTTTAGCTGAGTAAATGCCACACGTAGAAAATGCTCTTGATTATCTGCTCCTACGCTCTTGTCAGCCCCTTCTTATAATCCATCGCCCTGAAGACAAAGGCTGTGATGTAATTCCCTTTGCAATACCGCAATTCTTTAAAAACAAGATATGAATGTCATGTCATTATAAGTTTTCCTTGAGGCTGTCTTTGGATGCAGTGGATTTTTCCTCTCTGAATTTCTTCTCTTGTGGGTAACAAATCAAAACACAGCAAACTTTAAAACCTGCTTTAATCTCTGCACGCAACCTTCTATAGCAGTGATGGCTAACCTTTTTCCCAACGCATGCCAAAAGCGGGGAGGGGGGCGCAGGGGGGTCATGCACGGGTATGCCCACATCCATAATTCTATGTGCACGCCCCTCTGCTTTTGGCGCATGATTGACCCATTTTTCACCCTCTCCAGGCTCCAGAGGCTTTCTAGGAGCCTGGGGAGGGTGAAAACGGCCTTCACCGCACCCCCAGAAGCCCTCGAGAAGCTTGAGGAGGCTTCCCTAAATCCTCCGGAGGGCAAAAAAGGGCCAAAATTGAAGCCCAAAGTCAGCTGGTCAACGCGCCCTTGTGCGCTGGAGCTGACAGGGGAATGCCTCATGTGCCCTAACAAATGGCTCCACATGCCACCTGTGGCATATGTGCTGTAAGTTCACCATCACAGTTCTATAGCTTCACTGGCCTCATCTTTTCTCCAAAACCTTTATGTTTATTTTGGATTAAATTACATAACAGTCTGACCATATCTCATGCAAAAAGATGTTCTACTGCTTTATTCTATAGGAGAAACCCAAAGGGGTTCCTGAGAGTAGCTTTAGACTAGGGCCTCTACACAGGAAATCCTTGATTTATGACCACATAAGTTGAGAGGCGGCGTCAGAAATGGTCAAGATGGCATCTACCACCTTGTGAGTTTCCCTGCTGGCACCTGCGAAAAACTAGGAGCCACATTCTGGTTTCCCAGCGCTGAAGCCACCAGAATTGTTGAGAAGTCATAGAAAGACTGTAGGCCAGTGGTTCTCAACCTGTGGTCCGTGGACCCCTGGGGGCTGCGATGTCATCACAACAAGGTTCACGAATACTTGAAGAAATGTCATGATTTAAATCTTAAGTGGTGGGGGTCCGTGGCAGAGGTGGGTTCCTACCAGTTCGCACCTATTCGGTAGAACCGGTTCGTCAAATCTACCGAACCGGTTAGA